GGCCTAAACCCTCCCCACTTGGCAGCTGTGTGGACGAGCAGAAGATAGAAAACATGGACCTTTCTACTAATGAAAGACAAATCTTAATGTCCTTTAATAGAGAAGTTTGAACTAACCCAAGAAAAGAGTTTTTTATAGGATGAGATAAATCAGTCAATTTGCAGAATAAGTCATAAATCCTAACATGCTAAAATTTCAGTTGTGATTTTGCATTTTTATTAATGTTAAATATTCCCCTTAAATAGGAAAAAAAAAACCCTGCAATTCATCAGACATTTATGAAGCACCTGCCATGTGCAAAGTGCTGAACTGGGTCCTGAAGGTACCCAGAGAAGTCTCTGGGACAGAGGGTCTGGTGAGGGACCCAGGCACCTTGGAAAACAGGCAGAAGCACTAGATGCCATTGGCATCCTGCCCAACAGAGCTGAGGGTGGGAGATGGTTCCTGCAAGAGGAGAAACACCCAAGCTGGACCTAAGGATGAGAAGAGTCTGCATAGTTAGAAAAAAAGCATGACTGGGGAAAGGAGATGCAGTGTGTAGCTGAACACACACGCCATGGGTATATATGTGGACTACAGAGTGAAATATTATTTAGCCTGAAGAAACAGAGAAATCCTACCACTTGGCAACAGACAACATGGGTGAGCTTAAAGGACATAGGCTAAGTGAAAGGAGCCAGGCACAGAGAGACAAATACTGAATGATCACATTTATATGTGAAACCTAAAAAAGTCAAATGCACAGAAATAGAGAACAGAATGATGGTTGCTGGGGGCTGAGGGTGGGGGAAGTGGAGAGAGATGATCCAAAGGTGATCAACTTTCAGTTGTAAGGAAAATAAGTTGTAGAGACCCAGTGTACAGCACAGTAACTATAGTTAACAGCAGGGTATTTTATACTTGAAACTAGCCAAGAAAATAGAGGTTACATGTCTTCACTTGAAAAAAGAAATGGTAGCTATGGGGGCGATAGAGGCGTTAATAACATCACTGAGGTTATTTACCATACAGCATGCATCAGATCATCACACTGCATACCTTAATTTATACAGTTTGGCCAATTTAACCTTAATAAAGCTTGGGAATAAAAAAAGAGGAAGAAGGAGGGCATTTCAAGCCCAGGACCAGGGAGAGCCAGTTTGGTGACTGGGAAAAGTATGTCTTCTTAGAGGAACTGTGGTTAGACATGATGATGTTGGATGAGGCAAGAAATAGGGAAAGATTTAACATTTCAAGAAACGAAAGAGCTTATTATCCTGATTTGATCACTACACATTGTATATATGTATCAAATTATCACACTGTATCCCATAAAGGTGTACAAATATTATATCTCAGTTTTAAAAAGAAATGGATTAAGGAAAAGATGAGAAGTAGAGTGGGACTTGATTCTGGAGTGTGGAAGTGCCCCTACAAATAGCTTGGATTTTATTGTGTGGGGCATGGGGAGCTACTGAGTGCTATGGAGCTGGAGAATGACATGCTTTTCAGGTAAATCATCCTATGAGCAGGTCTGTTGGACCCCAGAGCCTAAACCATTCCCACATGCAGAGGTGGAACAATTGCCATTTGCCAATCAGAGAGCATGAGGACCCAAACTGTGACTGGTGAGAATCTGGCCACAGAGAGGAAGAGAGAAGGGAACACCTCTGATGCTTACTAGCTATGCAACCCAGAGCAATGGAAGTACCTTCTTCGTGCCTTCATTTCCCATCTGGGCATAATAACAGTGTCTGCCTCTGAAGCCTATTTTAAATTAATGCATATAAAGTGCTTGGAACAGTAACTGGTACAGTAAGCATTTGGCAAACATTAGCTATGATTATTTTCAGATGTAAAATTCTACGATTTAGCAACTAATAGCACTTGGCAGGGTAGGGAAAGGAGTCAAATATCTAGTGTTCATCAAAGAAATATGGAAGGCACTCCGAATTAATAATAATAGTCGGGTGCAGCCGCACATGCCTGTAATCCCAGTGGCTCGGGAGGCTGAGACAGGAGGATCATGAATTCAAAGCCAGCTTCAGCAAAAGCAAGGCCCTAAGCAACTCAGTGAGACCCTGTCTCTAAATAAAATACAAAGTAGGGCTGGGGGCAGCTGGGGTTGTGGCTCAGCATAGAGTGCTTGCCTGGCATGTGTGAGGCCCTGGGTTTGATCTTCAGCACCACATAAAAATAAATAAATTAAATAAAAGTATTGTGTCCAACTACAACTAAAAAAATAAATATTTAAATAAATAATAGGGCTGGGGATGTGGCTCAGTGGTCAAGTGCCCCTGAGTTCAATCCCCGGTATCAAAAAAAAAAAAAAAAAGAATAGCTAGAAAAAATAGAGAAAAATTATGTTGAGGAATACCTATAGAATACCTATAGTCTTCAAAATTGTCAAGGAGTCCCAGAGGAACTGCTCCTTACTGAAGGAGACCAGAAGGACATGACAGCAGAAGACAATGTGTGGCTCTGAACTCAGTCTATTGGCTTCAAAGAACATTGAGTCCGTAGTACAATTTGAAATTCAAACAAGGTCTGAAGTTGTGTGAAGATATGCTTGTTTCCTTGCTTTTAGGAAATGACACTCAAACGTACCTGTCTGATCCACAACAATGTTTCAGAATGTCCTTTGTTCCTCGATTATGAATCTGTAAGGTTATGATTGTTTGCAAATAAAAATAATTTATTCTCAAAATTAACAGCTGGTATTCCCTAAGTACTCACTAAGTATCAGGTCTGTGGCCAGTACTTTGCACCTGAGCAGGTTCAATTCCCCAGGAAACCTCTCATACTCCCGTCTATACCAGTAGAGCCCTGGTATAGGACTCTGTGCCCCTGCAGCAGCTGAACCCTCTGCCTCACACACTTGCAACTGCTGTAGCCACTGCTTGTGGCTTGTCACTAGTACCTGCCCCCTCCACGGACCAGGAGCTCTTTAAGGCTGAGGACTGTACTATACTCTCCATTTGTATCCATGGCGCCCAGCACAGCTCCTGCTTCATCCCAAGTCCTCAGCACATACTTGGTGAGTGAAGCACTGAGGCTTGCCCACCGTGGTGGCCACAGACACAAGGGAGGCACCAGACTTGGGATGTATATCTGACATATAACTTTTTTTTCAAGGTGGCCCTGGCTCTGGCAAAGGCACACAGTGTGAAAAACTGGTGGAAAAATACGGATTCACACACCTCTCAACTGGTGAGCTCCTGCGTAAAGAACTGGCATTAACATCTGAAAGAAGCAAATTGATCAGAGACATCATGGAACGTGGCGACCTGGTGCCCTCGGTAAGCAATATCAGGAAACTTCTGCCTTCCTTGGTGGCAGAGGTGCTGGGACCTGTTGGGGGGAGTTTGAGCTGCCACAACAAAGAAACCCAGAGGGACAGACAGCAGCTGTTTTCTCTCTCTAACAATCCAGAGGCAGGCAGGTCTACGCAGACAATCCACTTGCCTCTCTGTGTTTGCTTCACCAGCCCCCAAATTGTTACCCTGGCTCATACTTTCCCCCAAATCCAGGCCCCACTTAAGAGTTAAAAATCTTCACAACAGCGGTAAATGTGGTTGTGTTCAGCCTAGAATTAAAAACCTCCCCCAAAACAGAAAATAACCTTTTGGTCTAATTCTAGCGAGTGTAATAACATTATCTTAACATTTGGTGTCTTCCTTGTGGAATTTAAGTAAAAATGTCCCTTCTTTCTATCTTTTTTTTTTCTTTTTGAATTACTATTCATCTCTGAGAAGCCAGATGCCCTGGCAAAAAAAGAAAAAAAAAATCCGTTCTTGCATACTATGTTCCTTGCTGGGCTCTGTACTTTGGGCTTGTACAATGCAGTCCCTATTGTATAAAGTTTGCCATGTCCTCCTCCACCAGCTGGAGTCTTTACCACCTGGAAGCCGGCATGGTCCTCATGAAAGAAAAGTAGACCCTTGCAGCTGGCCCTAGATGACCCCCTTGCAACCACTCACTCTTTCCCCGCCATCGATTCTTTTCTACAGAAACCAAAGTGATTTTTTTAAAAAAACGTTTATCAAATTAGCTGTTCCTTTCCTCAGAACCTTCAAACCCAGGGTCCTGCCCATAGCTCTGGCCTCCAGCTACTCTCCACTGTTATGGCCCACCCCCACCTTACCTGCTGCCACCAGCCCCTGGCCTCCAAGTTGTTCCTCCCATAGCTCAGGCTGTTCTTGCCCCAGGGTCTTTGCACAGATCTTCTCTCAGCCCCAAGGGCTCCTCCTTTATATATTCACACAGTTTGCTCTTTTAATTCAAATCTCTGCAAATGTCACAACTGATCAAAGAGGCTTTCCCTGACCATCCCATCTAAAATAGCATCTCCAGCTTGCTTTTCTCTTTGTCTTGCTTTAATTTGTGCCTGGAAGTTATCTTTAGCTCACTATCATGTATTTATTGTCTGTCTTCCCCATTAGACTATAAACTTCATGAGGAGTTAGTTATTCATAATTATCTAGGGAGGATTCTGACTACACTTAGATGCCTACATTCCCCATGCCCTGCCAAAGGCCAGGCAGCAGGGAATGCCTCTGCCTCCTCAGAAGGCAGCTGAGTGCATTTTTCCTGTACTTTTCCCCCAAACTCCTCCCTTATGGCCCATAAGCACTAATTAGATACAGATTTTGAATGGAGAAAATGATATCGCTGGAAAATGCTAGTCACATCTACGGAAAGTCTTTTCAAGTTGGTGCGTGTCAAGTTGTATAAAATATGTACTGGAAAAAATGAACAGTGAGCCAGGTGTGGCGGCGCATGCCTGTAATCCCAGCGGCTCGGGAGGCTGAGACAGGAGGATCGCGAGTTCAAAGCCAGCCTCAACAAAAAGCGAGGCACTAAAACAACTCAGTGAGACCCTGTATCTAAATAAAATACAAAAAATAGGGCTGGGGATGTGGCTCAGTGGTCGAGTGCACCTGAGTGCAATCCCCTGTACCTCCCCCCCCAAAAAAAATTAACAGTGAAATATATTTTATTCCATATTTGGTCTAGTTTTAAATTACCATGATTTCCTAATGCGTAGAGTGCTGCCATTTGAAGTAGGGCTACTATAGTTCATGTACTCTAAGATATCATTGTTTTAAGACCCCCGAGTTGAATATAAAAGTAAGAATGCACTAGTAAGAAAAAGAAAGGGGAAAAAAAAAGCTAACCATTATGCTATGACCCAGCACACTGATTTTAAGATACCTACCCATTTAATAGACATTAAAATATGTGTACAGGGAGTGAGACTAGGAATTGATAAAATATGGGATGTTGCTGTCTACAGTTGATCTTGTCTGAACCTTCCTCCCTCGACTGAAGGAGACTCTGGGAATTCTAGGGCTGTTCATCTCGGGTCTGACCATTCTCTCCCTGCTCCAGGGCATCGTTCTGGAGCTCCTGAAGGAGGCTATGGTGGCCAGCCTCAGCAACACCAAGGGCTTCTTGATTGACGGCTACCCTCGGGAAGTGAAGCAAGGGCAAGAGTTCGGACGCAGGGTGAGCTGTGGTGATGGGGATCATTCTAGAAGAAAAACAGGGGACATCATCATTTCGGTTGAGGAGTAAATTCAAAGTCTGTTCCTTTCCCAATTACGTTAATCAACCTTTCCATTTTGAATGGCAAAAACTCAACTCAAACTGGCCAAAAAAAAGAAAGCGGTGGGAGGGCATAGGGAGGGGGTCTACTGACTTAAATAACTAAAATGCCCAGTAGCAGTTCAGACTTGGCTGGATCTGGGTATTCAGATTTCAATGGTCTTTCGCTCTCTCTTTCCCTCTCTCTCTCGTATTTTTTTCCCATTTGTGTTGGCCTCGTTTTCTTCCTGTTCTAGTCTCATATCCTACCATCTAAGCGACTTCACACAAAAGTGTTTCTGTTTCCCAGAGGTTCCAGCAAAAGTTTTGTTATCCTGGATTAGATCGATCAGAGAGCCGTTTACTATGGCCAAGGGAAAGGTGAGGGAAGGCGCTGACCCATTGTGGAGGACCTCAGCCAGGAGGGGATGGGGGCACCACACCTGAGCCACATAGACTGAGCAAGAAAAAGCAAATTACCACAGGAAAAGTAGGGGTACCCTTACACAAGAAGACAGGGGAATGGATGCCAGTCAGGCAGAATCAAAAATACACACAGCTCCATCTCCCATCATCCAAGCTCCCCTACTCCTACATTCTCCTACTAAAGATGGTGGGTCAGGGACACTCCCATAGGAATGGTAAATACCATCCCAGCTGCCAGGCATTGAACCGACTCTGAGCTGGGTCCTATGCTACACAGTATATGCATTGCCGGTAACTTTACAAAGTCCAGGCAAGAAGGGTACAATTGTTCCAGTTAGAACCTACAAGAAATTCATATTTAAATTTATTTATTTACTTATTTACTACTGGGGATTGAACCCAGGGGCACTTTGCCACTGAACTACATCCCAGCCCTTTTTATTTTTTTTATTTTGAGACAGAGTCTCACTAAGTTGCTGAAGGTGGCCTCAAACTTTTAAGCCTCCTGCCTTAGTGCTGGGATTACAGGCTTGTGCCAGCAAAATCCATACCTACATAATTATCTCCTTAGAATAGTTTTACAATATTTTCAAATGCATTCTTTCATTTGATGGTTTTAGAAATAACCTTTTTAGATAGATGGGGTTATTGTCCTATTATTAAAGGTAATGAATTAAGCCCAGAGAAGTTTAATGACTTGTCCATGATCACACAGCAGATGACAACTTTCTAGTAAATGACAACTGCTGATAGGAAAGATTTGGAGAGAACCACCCGTAACCTCCTCTAACACTGCAGCATTGATTAAGGCGATTTGTGCTTACATGTCTCCTGGGATTTATTTTGAGCTCTCTCTGACCCTATTTTATGTAGCTTCCCTACATGGTATCTCAACTATCCACCTTCCCCTGAATTTCCTACTTGCAACCAGAATCAAAGAAAATTCTTCAGGTCCAGCTGGTGAAGGCAGGCATAGGTTGGGGAGGGCCGGGAAAGTAGTGTAGTGGAGCCTTATGACTAGATAGATTCTGGGCAGTCCTTAGTGGGGGACCCTCATGCACCAGAATTCTAATGAGCTTCTTTTCACAAAATAAATCACTTTAAAAGTGCAAGCCTCATTATACACTGACTAGTTTTTGACAAAATGGAATTGGGAGAATTGTTCTGCTTTTTATAATTATGGCAAAATATACATCATAAAATTTTACCATCTTAGCCATTTTAAAGTATATCATTCACTGGAACCAACTACATTCCTAGTATTGTTCATCATCTCCAGAACTCTTTCATCCTGCTAAACTGAAACTCCATACTCATTAAACAGAGTTTCCCCCTTCCCTCTCCCGTCCCCCCCCAACACACACAACCCCTGGAAACCACCATTCTACTTCCTGTCTGTAAATTTGACTACTCTAGCTTCCCCCTATAAGTAGAAGTAGTAGATTTATCCCCTTGTGACTGGTTTGTTTCACTTAGCAAAATGTCCTCAAGGTTCTTTCTTCTTGGAGTACATGTTAGACTCTCCTCCCTTTTCCAGGTTGAATAACGTCCCATTGGCCATAGTAAATGGTTCTGTGATAGGCTCACAACCTAATCCAGGATAATGAAGCTCAGCTCTGGGACTTTTGCTGGACCTGTTGGGAACAGAAATACTTTATTGTGAGGTCCCTTGGATGGTAGAATATAAGACTAGAATAGGAAGAAAATGAGGCCAACATGAATGGAAAAAAAGCTAAAGGAGGGAGAGAGTAAGACCATCATTGGACAAATCTGAGTACCCAGATCCAACCAAGTCTGAACTACCTACCAGTGAATATACCATGTTCTGTTTGTTTATCATCCTTCTGTGGCGATTTGGGTGGCTTCCAACTTTTGGCTAATGTAATTAATGATGCTTTGACTATGTGTGCACAAATATTTGTCCAGGTTCCAACTTTCATTTCTTTTGTGTATTCCCACAAGTGGAATTGATTGATCATATGGTAATTTTATTTTTAATTTTTGAAGAACTGCCACACTATCTGTGTATAGACATATTGCCAGCCAAGGTGGCTGCATCACTTTACATAATGAAAAATAATAATTTCTCCTCTCCTCACCCACACTTGTTATTTTCTGGGGTTTTTTGTTCCTTTGTTTGTTTGATGGTAGCCATCTTGTCCATCATGGATATGAGATGGTATCTCATTGAGGTTTTGATTTGCATTTCCCCCAATGATTAGTGATATTGAGCATCTTTTCGTGGGCTTTCTGGCCATTTGCATATCTTCTTTGGAGAACTATTCTTTACCCATTTTTGAATCAGGTTGTTTGCCTTTATTGTTATGTTATAGAGGTTTTTTTGTTTTGTTTTGTTCTGTTTTTGTTTTTGTTTTGTTAGCAGGGATTGAACCCAGGGATGCTTAACCACTGAGCCACATTTTTATTTTTTTATTTTTATTTTTTTTAGTTTTGAGACAGGGTCTCACTAAGTTGCTGAGGCTGACCTTGAACCTGTGATCCTCCTTTCCTCGTCCTCCTGAGTCTCTGGGATTCCAGGTGTACACCACCATGCCCAGCTGTTATAGGAGTTCTTTATATATTATAGATATTAACTCTTTATCAGATTTAAGACTTTGCACATATTTTCCCCAGTTTCACTCTTTTGATTGTGCCCTTTTGCATAGAAGTTTTCAATTTTGAAGTAGTCTAACTTACCTATTTTTACTTTTCTTGCCTGTTAGTCAGCTTTCCATTGCTATTACAAAATACCTGAGAAAGTCAACTTAAAGGAGGAAAGATTTATTTCAGCTCACAGTTTTATAGATTTCAGTCCGTGGTCGCTTGGCTCCATTGATTCTAGGCCTGTGGTAAGGCAGAACAGCATGGTGGGTAGGATGTGGGAGAACAAAGCTGCCTACTTCATGATAGCTAGAAAGCAGGAGCAGTGAGAGGTAAAAGCAGGCTGTGAACAATTTAATGAAGAACAGGGGTATTTTTCCTATACCACTTTAGAAGCAGAGCCTGTGTAAGGCTTGGGGTTTGAGGGGTCTCCAGAGGCAAGGACAATGTGGTCCAGTAGTCAAGGGATTGACAATGTGGAAACACATGCAAGAGAAGATGCCTTCCAACTGCTGCAGGGTCCAGGCTTTAGGGTGGAGAGTACCCTACCAGGGGATTTCACATTTTCTCTGTGAACTTAAGGTCAGAGGAGTCTGAGAGAGCCCCGGGAAGTCAGGACAAGTCATGCATTTGCTTTGAAATGCTGGGAAATAGAAGTCTTTGCAAATTGCTCTCAGAGGTAGTAAACTATTTGTTTGAAACCCTCAAACTGTTAAGGATAAAAAACATAGTCAGTCTCTCCTCTCCTTCAGCTACTGGGTGCAAACAACACAAAATTATCATCCGGTCCTTCTTTTGAAGCTTTTAAAACTAGATCCAGAGGCAAATCCCAGAACTTAGACCGATGGTCTTCTAAATCATTCTGAGCAGTAACAGCACTGTTGGGATCCATGTAAGGTTACATCTTTGAAGCACATCACTCATAAGGTCTGGACTCAGAAAATATGGAATTTTACCTCTGCCAAATATTAGTATGACCTGGGCAAGTCACTCAACTTCCTCTTCAGCCAAGTATTATCCAGTTTAGGATCACTCATTTTTTAACCACACTTCATACAAACCTTAAAATCTCTACTTCATGACCTCTCCCTCTATGGCTTACAGCCCAATGAAGCGTTCAGGGCTCTTTGTCGCCAATTGTTCTGCTCCCAGACTTTGGCTACATAGAAATTGAGATCATCCATGCAATCCTTTCTAAAGTAAAGCGAAACCCTCCTCCCATTGGGGCCCCATTCAGACACATTTCAGGATGTGGGAGAAAAGAAACCTAACTGGTACTAAAGGTGAGAGAGTCACCAGCCTGAGACTAGACAGTTTCAACCAATGCAAAACTTCATGATATCATTTCCAAAAAACATACAAGCATCCCGTTTCACTACTGAACTACGAAGACAGTCTTTTACTGCTGGGAGGAGCTTACAAAGATCAAGAGTGACACTGGTTAGTCCCCAGATACAATGACTTTAGAAGATTATATCAGTTAAGCAGGACATAAGAGAACATGGCTCTCCACAGTTGGGTGGTGTGCAGGTGCTTTAATCCTGACCAGAAAAACAAAGAACCTACAAACAGAAGGAGCTCCTGTAGACATTTTTATGTCCTGCAGGGGCCCATCGTTTGGACAGCCTCCTCCAAATTACAGGCAAGAAATTAATTTGCAATTTGGCAATGATAAATATAGACAATTGATTTTCTCCAAAGTTGCAGAGTAATCAGCTTGGCAGAGAGCAGAGTGAGGGTTTCTTGTCCATGCATCAGGTCTACAACTGCATTTGAAGCCCAATCAGGTCTGTAAGTGGTTTCAAACAGACTACAGAAGCAGCCTCACCAGCCTTTCTGCAGTCACAGAGATTGATGCAAACCATTTGTATTCTGAGAAAATCCAGCTCAGTTAATTAGACTGACATATTTGCATAGCTATAGCGGAGATGCAAGGTCCTTTGAGGACTTAGCTAACTGTATATGACATAGTGAAAGATAAAACAAACTCAAGTCTGTGTGTGCTTTCTCTATTACCTTCCTATCTTCTATCCCTGAGGCTCACACACACACACACACACACACACACACACACACACCCCAGGCTCCTTTTCCCCCACTAAATCAACAATCTGTGCCTTCACTTTCCAGTATGATATGCTGGGGAAGCGTGTGAGAGAAGGGACAGAAGGGATGTGAAGGCAGAGCTGGGCTTTCTGATCACCTTCCCGGTGAGAACCTACTTACAATGGCTTTGGTCTAACAGGCCTGTACTCAGAGCCTGGCTTGGCAACTCACTGACCCACAGGCAAGTCACTTAACTTTGCAGATCTCCATTTCCTTTTCTATGAAGTAGGATGAAAATAAATGTAGGTTGAAAATCAATCCGTCAGTGAGTATTGGAAAGATGGGGATGGAGTCCTTGAAAAGTGCCTTTTTCCATTTATAAACCTGAGCATGATATTCAATTAATTGTTAAAATTAAATAATATTTTTTCCAGCTATAGAAATAAAAATAATGTGGCTGGGTGTGGTGGTGCATACCTGTAATCCCAGAAACTTGGCAGGTGAAAGCAGGAGGAACACAAGTTTGAAGCCAGCTTCAGCAACTTAGCAAGACCCTGTTTCAAAATAAAAACTAGAAATAGAAAGGGCTTTGGATGTAGCTCAGTGGTAAAGCAACCCAACTTCAATCCCTAGTAAAACTTTCTTAATCATATAAAAATCATGTTTTGTGCATATATAAATATGACACAGGAAATTTCACCTTTATGCACAAGTAAAGAGAACCAATCAAATATATATATATATATATATATATATATATATATATATATATATATATATATACATATATACATATACACAAAAGGAAGTCTAGTAGAGAAAGGAGAGTGGGGGAAGGGAGGAACGACCAGAAGGAAAGGGAGGATCATGAGCTGAAATTGAATTCCATGTGTGTATGAGTTTATTGGGAGGAACCCAACTACTGTATGTAACTATAGAGCTCTAATAAAAAATAATAAAAATAAAAAATCATATGAATATGAAACAATATGCAAAACTATAAAACAAAGAATAATTAACCACCGATTAACATTTTGATGTATGTTCTTCCAGTCTTTGTTCTGCCATTGTTATATAGTTAAAATCATACAAAATATAAGAATAATAGCCATTATTTTTTGAACACTTACAACATACTGAACCAAATGCTTTACATATACCATTTGATTAATCCTTAATGATCCTATTCAGTAGGTGTCATTACCCCCATTTTATAGATTATCGTCTCTAAGAAGGCTGTGCACTTAGTCTGGCTGCCTGGGGGAAAACTGAAACACTTTCCTGTTGTAACTCCATCCCCTGCTAACAACAGCCAAGCTGAACACATAGGTATTGAAAGTAAAAGGCGGAGGCCTGCTCTGGGTTCTTCTCTCCCAGGAGACTGAGCTACAATTCTGTCTTTAGCTGGAACATGAACATGATATTCCTGGGTGTGTGAATGATGGCATTACTGTCCCTCTGCCTGACTACTCCTCACTCCCATTGGACTTCATGGGCAGAAACATTAGTTTTGTTCACATATGTAATCTAAGCTGTAGTCTCTTAACAGAAACTTTGAGTCTAGCCAAGGGACTGTGTAGTTGCTTGGGTCCAGTTGCTTGTGATTGTGGGGAGCCTTGAGAGCCACTTTGGATTTTCTACTTGAGATTCTCCCACTCTTCTGACTTCTGTTCACTGCAGAATATTTGTCTGTGTGATGGTGGTGTCGGGGGTCGAAGAGATGGTGGGCAATGGAAGGGGAGCGTTTCCTCTAGGGCAGTGTCCTTCAGACATATGGGAATGACCCAGAGATTCCTTCCTCAGGGAGGTTCCCCAAGGGGCTGTACCTCTGAGTGGGAATCACAGAAATGGTTTTTGTGGCTTTGTTGTCAGTCATTGTGGGGATGTAAGTAAGCATGCTGGAGCCTGCACCTCAGGCTAAAAGCCAAAGTGGGGCTTCTGACTCTGGCTAAACCCAAATCTGACCAATGGGATTTTACAGCTCAAAGGATATATATGTTGCAAAGGCCTACATCAAATAATGTTAGCCCCCAATTATGTAGTGTTTGACATAGACACTTTACATGCATGAACTCATTTACCCTCACTATACTCCTGAGAGGCAGAAACTAGGGTTAAATTCATTGTAAAATGAAAGAACTGGGCTGGGGATGTAGCTCAGTTGATAGAGTGCTTGCCTCGCATGAACAAGACCTCTGGGTTCAGTCCCCAGCACCCCCACACACACACAAATAATAATAATAATAATTGGCAAATCTTACTGTATGTTAATTGTACCTCAATAAAATTGACACAAAAATTATTTTTTTAAAAAACATGAAGAAACCATTTGGGTCAGAGAGTTATTCTCCACAGAAGAGAGTTCCTAGGTGCATGGAGAGTTCCTGCCCATTGGTAAACATGGCCTAACCTGTAATCCCACTCCACTGGAGGAAAACTGAGGTGGGGGTCAGAGGAGAGCAGGCAAACATCCCTCCCTCCACTTGCTGGGATTACCAAGGCCAAACCATTGTTCCAAGCCCACTGAGGAGTACAAGGACAAGTGCTGATCCCAATTGAATATCAAAAGGCAGTGAGAGCCAGATTCTGAAAAATAGGCAACACCATGCATGCCAAGTCCCCACTTCCTTTCCCTCCATCCCATCTTCTTCTCCTGCCTCTGTGTGCCCACAGAGCATCTTGCCTGAGGCCTATTCTGAAAGCCCTGGCTCTTCACAAGGGTGAAGTTACAAGGCTTTTGAGGTAAATGCAGGTGGCTCAGGCCTGTCATTAACTAGTTCTTACTGACATTAAGCAAATTAACTCTTTGGAGCTCCCATTTCCACGACTTAAAGTGGAGATAGTAATACCTCCCAGCAGGGGTGCTAATGGGTCTAGAGATGGTTGTCTCTAAAGCCCTTAGCTGAGTCCATTCAGCTGCTGAAATGTTGTTAGAGGATCCCAATAGCCTTCTGTTCTAGAACACCAGATCCCAGTCAATGAGAATCGGCCCCAAAGCACCAAAGAGGCAGAGAGATCCAGGACTACACAGACTACAATTTCCTAGGGACTTACTGCAGAAGTATGGTCCCAAGTACCGGTAAGACCAGGTGGATCCCCATGATTTGGGTCAGGAAGACAGGGCCTATAAAATGGCTGCATCCAAACCATAATGTACCTGGCTAATCTTCAGCTAATATGAAAGAGAAAGGCCAGGGTCTGGTTTAAGTGCTGCATACCTCTTCAGTGGTTTTGTTTATTTATAGAATGCTGGGAGACTACATAAAGAAGAGTGACCAGGGTGACTCAGAGGCCACCATGGGAGTTACGACTCAAAGTAGCTGCAATCAGTTCAAGCTGAATCCTTACACCTTTGAAGGACATTTGGGCTCCAGTGGAGGGTCCCTGATACCAAAGGCAATGAAGAATCCAAAGATGTGGTGACAGAATTCCAGGGAAGCAGGCAGGGTGATGGTATCAGGGCCTTCGTACAGACAAGGGCGGAGTTCTCTGTTCTCTTGCCCACTTGATGTTAGTGGTAAACCACGGTGTGGTGGACAAAAGGCATAACTAGCAGCCAGAGAAATACTCCAATGGACTTTGTAAAGTTACATATTAAAGCATCTTGAAAAAACAAAACATTTCAAAGATTTTAGTAATAAAATTAAAATGTGGCGCGGGTCCCTTTCAAATGGAATGTGATGGCTTGACCGCTTTGTGCAGAAGAGAGCACTGATTACAGGAAAGAGAGGTCAAGCCCCAGAGTTTTAGCCCAAGGAAATGGCTGGGTAGGGCAGCTTCTCAAACTCTCAGGCTGTGAAGCATCACCTGCGGGTCTTGGTCAGGTGCTGGGCCTGAGACTGCTTCTAACAAGCCCCCTAATTATATGCTGATGATCCACCCACCACACTTAAGAATCAAAGCAGCCTTTTTACCCAGCACTTATTTTAGTCCAGAGGGTCATTAATGCCAGCTCCCACTTAGATACACATAATCTCTCTTTGTGCCTGAATGATTCCAGAATTGTCTTTCCAGCCCCCAAGAATGGCCTGAAAGGGACCCACACAGGAACTGTTTCAGGGAGACCTCTGTGACTGAACTGTGGACTGCCTCCCACACTCGCCCTCTGCTGGTGAACAGGGATCATTTTCTCCCCAACTCTCACCCAGCCTTTCTTGCTGTTCAAATGCTCATTTTTCCCTTCCAATACTACAGACAGAAAAATATGACATGCTCCAGAGGCTTGTTTCATTCTTGTACATTTTGGAGAATTTCTCCACTCTGCTCCTTAAAGGACCTTCCACCCTCAGGGGTGAGTGTGGATAAAACCCTTGTGGCAGCTCATGTTTCTCTGTGTGTCCTAAAAGTCTTCCTGTGCCCCAGCTTTCTTCCTGCCCGACTCCAGGTACTTTCTGTAGGGAAGTGACAAGCCTGCATTCACTCACAGCCTGGGCATGGCCAAATCAGGGGAGCAATGGCTTCTTTTGATCCATTGAGGTTGGGGTGAGTTGTGGAGTCATATATGGTATAATCCAGAGACACCAGAAACAGATCCGTTAAGAGAATAGGGAGCCGGGCATGGTGACACATGCCTGTAATTCAGAGACCTGGGAGGTTAAGGGAGAAGTATGGAAAATTCAAGGCCAGCCTGGGCAACTTAGCAAGACCCTGTCTCAAAGTATAAAGGACCAGGGATGTAGCTCAGTGGTAGAGCACCCCTGAGTTCAATCCCCAGTGCAAAAGAAAGACACACAGAGAGAGAGATGGGGAAATGGAGAAGTTCAAGTTACAGATTATATTATCATTAGTCATTCATTTAAACATAATCTCCTTTTATGTGCAAGAATTTGGACAGGAAACAGGTTTCTTAGCCCCTACCCACTAAGATCAGACCTCACTAGGGGAAATAAGCATAATAGCTAAGCTTTGTGCTTACTATTTGCTATATGCCAAGCAGTGTACTTACATTACCTTCATTTTCTTTAATCTTCACAACAATCTTATGACCACCCTTATTGTACAAATGAGAAATTCAAGATGCAAAGACATTAGGTGACACTTTAGTGAATCATAAAGTCTAGTGGTTTAATAGAACAGCTAGTTATTATTGCTCATGGCTCTGAAGTTTGATGGGCTCAGCTGGCAAGTTCTCATGTGGGGTCCCTAACATCACAGCAGTCAGGCAGTGGCCAAGGCTGGGTGTGCATGTCTGGGGCTGAGGATGGGGCTGGAGGTTAGCTGGCATCTCTGCCCATGTGGCCTCTCCACATAGCTAGCTCGGACCTCACCACTTGGCAGTGACAAGGTAGATAGACACTGAGATGGTTGCTGACTTCCCCTACAGCAAGTATTCCACAAAACCAAGCAGAAATCACAAAATTCCTTAGAATCTATATAATAGTATGTGGCATTATACCATTATATTCTGTTGGTCAAAACAGTTATAAATCAGCTCAGAGGGTAGAGGAATAGACTTTACATATCAATAAAGCTTCAAGGGGTAGAGGAATAGACTTTACATATCAATAAAGGAATAGCTTATAAGTAAAGCAAGGTAAGGAATTAATCAAGTCCATCTTGGAGATAAATCACCGTACCAGGATTTGGCCCTAAACAGCCTGACTCCAATCTTTGCATGCTCAGCCATTATGCTCCCTTCACCCCCACACAGTATCTACTGGTGACTAGAAGAAGTTGTAATGGTGGTATGGAGAAGGGAAGTGATTATCACTGACTCAGAAGGTCAGGGAAGGTTCCTCATAGGAGCAAATATCACACCCCACCCCACCCCTTCAGTGTGAAGGCCGACTGTCTGCAGTGGGGAACATATTATCCCGGCATTGTGTGCCATGATCTTAAAGCTGAGGACAAGAAACAGCTCTTAGACAGCATACAGAAAGGGACTGACCCGGAAATGAGGAACCCTGAAGTCTAATCCCTGCTGTGCCTTGATATCATTCTGGGCTCTTGAGAGGACCCAGAAGGCCAAGAAATGAAAGAGATGAGGGCCCCAAGCCTCTCAGGACATCAGCAGAGTGGAACTTCTGACGATCTGTGCTCTGCTCCATCCACCTCAGATCAGAGACCCACACTTGGTGATCTGCATGGACTGCTCGGCAGACACCATGACCAACCGTCTGCTCCAAAGGAGCCAGAGCAGCCCGCGCATGGACGACGCCTCCAAGACCATCGCCAAGCGTCTGGAAACCTACTACAGAGCATCCATTCCTGTGATCGCCTACTATGAGACGAAAACACAACTACGGAAGGTGAGTCATTTCACGCTCTCCCCCGACCCCCAAAATGAGCCATTTGCCCCTTTTCAAGAAAAAAGTCTGGGAAAGATGGTTATGGGATCTGGAACTGCATGCAACTGCAGAATTGGGCCAAGATATGAGCTCCTGACTTTCTTCACCATTGTCTCAATCAAAAACAGTTATCTGTTATATAAACTAACAAAACTTGGTCACAGATGCCATTATACTTGCTGAAAACTGCCTTTTCCAAAAGAGAATGGGTGGGACATAAAGTCTCTGCCGTGGACTCTGGATGACCTCGGCTAGACAGGATTATCTGAAAGGTCTCTTCTAGATCCAAGATGTGATGCCTTCGAGTTCTAGAGTTTACATAGTTCATGATTGGCACTTGGCTCCTTTGCCTCAATTTCTTGCAATAATTAATATTCTGGGGAGAAGCAGCGTATGGGGCCAGGGAAGCAGGTAATAGGTGAAAGAGGGGAGATGCCGTGGGGAGGTGGTAGTTTCAACTTAATGTTCATGAGTTGTCACCGAAGCTCAGGCACCATCATTAATACAGGTATTTGGTAAACTGGTTGGTCCCTTTGCTTCACTCATTCCATGGCTGTGTGTCAGGTGCCCATGTTCCACACGTTGCTCTAGTTGTTTAGACACAGTTCTTGCCTACATAGCTTAAGGGGTTAGTTGGGAGATTGACACACCTGGGATTACAGGATAGGTTCAAAGCAAGCACAGAATGCCTCTTCTCTAGTCTGAGGAAAGGTATCCAGGAAGGCCGCCTGAGAAGTACCAGGCAGAGTGTCCACCAGGTGCCGTGTGGGGAACAGGGCACTCCATGCCGAGGACACCCCGAGTGAAAAGGTCAAGAGGGACACATCGCTCCACTTGACTGTGAAACACACCAGGAAAACAGGGACAAAGATGGGTGTGGAGAGGAGAGCAAGGACTAGATCAAGAGGAACCACTAATTGCCCTTTGGGTGATGGGAACTACCAGAGGGGGCAGATGGAATCAGGGCTCCAATCTAAAAGCTCACCCTATTGCCTTGGGCAGAAAGGATACAAGAAGGTAAGGCTAGGATGCCCCCGGGAAGCTGTGGGAGATGTCCGGAACAAAATCCTGAGGCCTTCCAACCAGGTGAGAGAGTGGGGCTCTGCCTCTTGCTAATCATAGGACTTAGAGGCACCAAACAATAAACAGTCAGACTTATCTCAGAGATGACACTGTCAATTCCTTGGGAAAAACCACTGGGAATGAATTCATATCTTCTAAACCTGCAATGGTCCACTCTCCAGAATACTAAGAAGCCCTGGATATACTGAAAGGTGCCTCTTAATATAACTCGGGATATCAAATGCTTCCTGGAATGCTTCATGTAACCTCTTATTGCCACATAAAGTGAAGACTAAAATCTTCAAAAACAAACAAAAAGTGCATCATATAAGAGCGCAGTCTTAAAAATTCAGGGTTGAAAAGGCCTTTCCAGATAGGTCTTCTAGTGATTTTGTGCAGCCTGGAACACACACCGAATTTTCCAGGTAGAAAGGAATTTCATACTCTTTCAAGATGCATAAAGATGAGAACATCTCTAAGGAATTCGGGGTTTAAACTAATCTCAGAGTCAGAAAATCCCTTTTCTCTCTCTTAAATTGTTCCAACCTGAATTCTACAGATTCACAAATGACTGGCACATGGACACAGGGCTAACAGATCTAAGAGAAATCTGACTTCTGGAATCCACCTTGGAACTTTCTTAAATTCTGAGTTTCTAATGGGAAAGGAAAATTCCAGTCCCCTTCAGATCATCTCTTCAGCTTCCCCTGCATTTTGGAGATGCTGGCAGCGGGGTCTGTAGTGAGGTAACATTTATGAGCCACTCTGCAAATATGTAAAACAGACTCCAGCCCTTGAGCCTCCTGGGGGATTGCCAGGAGAAGCTGCTCTGTCCCTCTGCCTGAGCGTGTGGCTCTCTGCCACCCATGCAGATAAAGCCAGAACTTATTACACTCCCGGGGATAGGAGTGTGTGGCACAGGTATACCCCAGGTTTCTGCTTTCGGCCTCTCTCATAAAGGAAAGCCTTGCTTACCCTCTGGAAAAGAGGACTTTCTCCATCTTATCCCTTCCTCCATGCACTTCAGGCAGACGCCATCAACTCAGTGGTGGCAGAATCTGGACTCAGCAGCACAGAGCAACCCAGTGGACTAGAGTCACCCACAGGAGGAAGCTTTCTTTCACTGTGACTGAGAGAATTTATTATTGAATAAATAACTGAGGTGTAGCATTCTGGGTGAAAAGCACCAATGCTAGCCAAACACTCCCTGGTGGAGACATCAAAAAGCCCCTGACCCAGTTTGGGAACTTTGGTGAGTCATTTCATTGTTTAGCCTCTCAGTTTCTCTTCTTAAAATAAAGTGGGTAGACAGAACATACTCTCCTGGAATTCTCCAAGTCTATCACTCTACAATTGTTGGGGAAAATTTTTTTTAAATCTAATTACAAAAGTAATTAATGCTTATTCTAGTAGAAAACAGCTGGGTACAGTAGTGCACCTATAGTCCCAGCAATGCAGGAGGCTGAGGCAGGAGGATTGCAAACTCTCAGTTAGTCTGAGTAACTTAGTAAGAGCCTGTCTCAAACTAATCTTCCCTCCCTCCCTCCCTTCCTTCCTTCCTTCCTTCTTTCCTTCCTTCCTTCCTTCCTTCCACAGTGATTGAACCCAGGGGCATTTAACCACTGAACCACATCCCCAGTTCTATTTTTTTTTTTTTTTTGAGACAGGGTCTCGCTAAGTTGTTTACAATCTTGCTAAATTGCGGAGACCAGCTTTGAACTTGCAGTCCTCTTGCCTGGAATTACAGGTGCACGCCACCACGCCCAGATTGCTGTGAGTTTTTAAAGCATGATTGTGACTATAGAGAATATCAATCTGGACTCCTTGTGTGTAATAGGCACCCAACCCAGCTGGTCTGACCTGAAATGAAAGGAATGCCACCAAATGCCGACAGCTGGCCCTAGAGCGGTGGGACCAGATTTAGCAAGCTCCCAGCTGAAGCCCTCTACGTCTCAAACATTTCTTTCCCTTCTTCTTTAGAATATGGTCACCTAACCATTTCCACATTCCCATGTTTCCCTGACAATCTCTGATTCCCAGTTCCAAATCCCCAAGGGAAATTTTCTGATGGGCTTTGCTCTACTTAGGATCTAACTGATCCTATTAGGTAGGGACAAGCAGGTTGTCACCGGGGCTTTTGCAAGCTCCTGTGGGTGGGGACAAGGAATTCCCAGAAAAGGAGGGCTTGTGAGCTGAAAGAAACCACAGAGAATCTCTGTACCTGAGAGGTACAGAATTGCATAAATTGGTATTTACAGCCTCCCTTTTGTCTAAGCACAAAAGTAAGCAACTACACATTGTTTAAGAAAGAAACTAAAATATTTGCGCATAAAGACTAAAATTATCCAGGTTTCTTCCACCCAAAGATAATCATTAATGAACATCATGATATAATTTCTTATGCTTGTTTTTCTCCATTTTTACATATGATTTGCATGTTGCATAATGAGCCTAGACACACCTCAGGCCATAGATAAAGAGGGCCTGATAACAGGTGAGATCTTACCTTGGGTTACCTCTTACTTTTAATCATTTAAGAAAATAAAAAGAGAACAGTCATTCATTAAATGTGGGGTTTACAGATAGAGAAAATCAAGTTCCTTTGGCAACTCTGCCTCTGTAAAGGAGAGAATAAGCTTTTGTTGAGCTGCTCTTTGGCTGCCATGTCCCCCTTGACAAACAGTGTGGCCAAGTTTAGTCTCCTGACACTGCAGTGCTCAGTGTTGTTCCGGGTGGTCATTCAGCCTGACTGGATGTACTGTGAACTGAGGGAGAAGGAGGGAGGAATGCAGTTTCCAGTAATAGGGAAAAAGTGAAAGTAGAAAATCCAGTTTCACCTTGGATGCAAAATCCACTTGAGAATTCATAACGTTAGGGTCTAGTAGTAGCAAAGAGAAAACCCCAAATTACTTTTTGCCTTGATTTATCTGTTTTGAATTCTTAATTTTGATTGTTCTCCCAATTGATTAAAGTAACTCTAACTTTTAGTTCAATTTCTCTGTGTACATCTGAGAATGTCATTGTGATGGCTTTATACACAAATGAGAGTTTCACTGGATATAAAATCTAGGTCATAATTATTTGTCTAGCGTAAAGCACTTGAATTTACACACATGAGACCCTGGGTTCAATCTTCAGTACCAAAAAAATAACAATTAAATTTTTTAAAAAAGTAATTATTTTTCTACCAAAAGATAGTAAACATTGCTCCCTTGTTTTCAAGTATTCAGTGTTGCAGAGGAAAAGGCAGAGACAAATTTGGAAGTAAACTTGTTCAACTTTTTTTCAAATTTTTAAAAATTTTCTTCATGTCATGCAGGAATTGTGTCCAGATATAAGTCTGTTTTTGTTGATTTTTAATAGCACTGATGACACTTTTTATAACTCCAAAAAGACTTCTCTAATTAGCTTTGTTTTGTTATTATTGTTGAACTTGTTTCTGTTGTTGATGATAGTTTTGGTTTTGCATTACCCAGGAATCAACCCCAGCACCTTGTTCATGCAAGCCAAGTATTCTACCACTGAATACACCCAGTCCTATTTTGAGTACTTTTATGTACCATTGCTCCTATTTTTCCTCAGGAACACACCATTCATAGATCTCCATTATTTGCCTCCCATAAAAGCACAGTTCAATAGAAATATAATGTGAGTCATTTGAAATTTTCTACTAGCCACAGTAAACAGTAAACAAAAACAACAGACTTTATCAACTTTTGGTGTGTATTTAACATTTACAGCACATCTCAGTTCAGAAAAGCCACATTTCAAGTACTCATGAGTTACACGTGGCAAGTAACTTCTATATCAGAGAGTATAGTTCTACATTTAGACCTACACTGCTATTATTTTACCATCTGCTTTCTAGGAAAAATCCCACATTTGTCTTCAACATTTTTTTTAATTGTTGATGGACCTTTATTTTATTCATTTATTTATATGCAGTGCTGAGAATTGAACCCAATACCTCACACATGTGAGGCAAGCACTCTATCACTGAGCCATATCTGCAGCCTTGTCTTCAACGTTATTGATCCAATTGTTTACATCATTCCTGATCTCTAGCCAATATTGATTTTAGTTCTCATGTGTATTTTATTACCTTAGCTCATTCTTTTTCCCACATGCTGTTGTTTTTCCAGCCTAAGCCCATTCTTATTTCATGATTTCCTGATCTTGTTTCATACCAACCATGTCCTCTTACACACTATTTAAGCTAGCAACAGAATACATTAATTGATCTTCCTGTGTGTTTTTATAGCACTCTATTTTTTTTGTCTGTGTCTATCATGCTTTGTTGTAATTACTTCTTTACTTCTTATATCTACCAACAGAAAGTAAATGCTCTGGTACAAGAGTTATGTCTGTCTTGTTCACAGATTTATCACCTCTGTAGAACAGTACCTGGCACAAGAGCAGAAAAATGTATGTTGTATTATTTATTGTTGAATATACAAGGAATTTGATTTCAAATTTTTCCAATTTCTGTATTACATGGTTTTCAGAAGTGTTATCTCCTTCTGAATTGTGCGTCTTTGCCTTTTTCTGTGGTATTTTTCAGAAACACTAGTCTGTTTTAAGTTTACTTTTGGGATCTGGTTATGTATTATTATATAACAAAGTACCCAAAATCCGGTAGCACAAAACAACAACCATCATTTGATACTCATGGTTTCCATGTCTCAGAAACTTGGGGAAAATATCATGATGTTTGCAGCTTCTGCTGAAATAACCTGAAATGGCCAGGGAGACAGATTCAAAAGGCTTGGAGTCACAACAACAGGAGCTGACTTGTCCACTCCAGAAAGAGTTCTTCTGGCACCTTAGCTGGAACTATTAACCTGAGCACCTATGTATGATGTTTCTAGGATGGTCTGTATTTCCTATATAGCATCACTCTTGGGGTCCAAAGGTAGAGCCCAACTGAGAGCATCCCATGACGACATATTCCAAGGGACCATGGTGGGGATTCACGTGGCATTGCTTCAACTGCATTTTACTGATTACAAGCAAATTGCAAAGGACAGCCCAGGTTCAAGGAGAGAGAGATTATACTTTCTCTCTTGATGAGGGAGGGCAAAGTCTCATTTAGAAGTGTATGTGAAATGGGATATATTATTGCAGCCATCTTTGAAAACTAAAATCTGCCACATCCCCCAATTCAAGTGTGGAGGGGAAGGGGAACCCCCCAGACCTGCTATGAACACAAAGGATATGCAGATCATCTTTAGTGTGATCATCCTTAGTGCAGATCATCTTTATGTGCCTCAACTCCTGGTGGCCCTCAGTACTAGTCATGCTCAGATCTCCCCCGGAAGCAAGTGAGGGTGTATGGCTCCCTCTGCAGCTGCCAGTGTCTGAGAGGCTTTCGCCAACATGGAATTGCCAGGCTGAGGTATGGCAAGCAGGGGCCTCAGCCCCCATGTGCTTGCTCCCAGATATAGTCCCGTTTGCCCTCCTGTACTTGGGATGATCCTTCAGGTTTTAGATGGCCCCCCTCTCCCTCGTCAGTTGTTCTTTTGGTAATTACAGTCTTAAATTGGATACAGAAAAAAGATGTACTGTTTGGGCGCAAGGAAACTCTCCCCTTCAAAAGTCAGTTTACTTGGCAGAAGGACAGATGCTTATTATTCTGGACGTTTACTGAGTCAGAAGCACATCATGCCTATGCAAGGCCCTAGGTTGGATCCCCAGAACCAATAGGAGAGAAATTGGGAAAGAGATCACGGGGTCTAGTTCCATTGGCAATAGGTAACAGTCCAAGTTTTCAAAACTCCTATGACTGTTGACCTTTTTCTGGATTTTCACTGGTGTTTTAGTAGGAAGCTGGCAGAGGCTGTCTCAGGGGATGCTTGCAGGCCCCCACACAAGGTGTGGGTAGAAACATTTCCCTGGAGAGTTTCTGAAGATCAGAGGTTAGAGAGGAGAGTATTAACAGGTGACTCAGTGGTCCTACCTGTGTTTAAACTGTCAAGTGTTCACATTAGTGACGGGGATTAGATTTATTTCAGATTTTTTTTTCAGATTACTTAAGTAATCTTATAATTACTATATTATTACTATACTTATAATTACTATATTATAATTACTATAAGTGAAACTTACAGAGGTGCGTGTGTGTGAGCACGTACCCATTGCATAAACTCCTTTCAACTCTACTCCCCTCATATAACCAAAGTGAACAGTTCACCGTGCATCTTCCTACCCTCCTCACGATCTCCTCTTCCCCTCCATGCCCCACCCCACCTTGCACATGCACCCATTCTCTTTCTCTCTTTGACGTCAATCTACTATGTGCACACACATACCCCGGTGGTAAGGGATTCTAATTTCATAAAAATATTTCCATCCCATACACATTTCTCTAAACATCTCTAGGTCAATACATATCACGTTGATGTTTCTTTTTGAAGAGTTTTATAATATGGCATAACATAGATATTCTATGGTTTTTCAACTAAGTTGTTCCTAGTTTAATTTGTCTTTGT